AATGACCTTTTTTGAGGTTTCCTTGCATTCTGATGCAATCCACTACATTTGTCTTCCATACAACTACTAGCTTCATTTTCTTAAAGCCATAATCAGATCATTGCTCTACTTAAGTGAGCTCTCCTTTGCCGAGCCAATAAGATCCAGTCCTTAGTATGATGTTCATTTGTCTGGGTAGCGATCACTTCTGCCTTCTCTCGCTCCAAGAGTCATACCTTCCAAATAGGGAGTTTGCTTTCATATGAGGCAGTAGACTTCTCTGAATGAGAGGCCCACAAGTCACGTGTGGATGACGACCAGACGTAGGGGCTGTAGAGACTTCTTGATGATATTTAAGTTTCATTCTGACTTAGTCTATGATCTCACAAATTATATTAGGTTTGGGGTGAGGTATTCTCTGCTCTTCCAAAGACAAACAGGCTGAGGGCAGGAGTGTTCCACGCATCTTCTATTTAGCATGAGAGTCGGTTTAAACATCAGGAGTAGAACAAAGATGAAAGGAAGATGGGATGACTGTCTGAGAGTCTAGACCCCGTGATGAGTAAAATTCTTCTTAATACAAGCCTAATAATTCTTTTCTAACAGTATCCCAGAGAGACAGTATGGGAAAATATAATGCCACATACATAGAATATTAATGAGCTTTCCCATCAGCTACTTGTAAGAAAGTGTTCTCTTCTTAAGTAGCATGTACCAGCTCAAAGAGTACACCCTTTAAAATTCTAAGCACCAATAAAATGTAGATGCTGGAAGGAAAAGCAAACAAGTATATCAAGTACTTTTTGAAGTACTAAAGGTTCAGGGTAGCACCAATCTTATTCAAACTCCATCTTCTTGCCAAAAAAAGATCACAACTACCAAGTTGTCGGAAAAGTCACGTATTTTTTTCTATTTTTCTATGCAAAAATGCATCATGACTTTTCCAAGAACCCAGTAAGTCTGAAGGGTCATTATTACCATCCAAATACAAATAGAGTTGCTTTTTAAGCATTAAACACTTTTCTCCACAGTCCAAAATGCTACTATAAAATTATTTGAAAATCTGGAATTTCATATCAAAGAATCATAATAAATCCTCTTATAGCTGACATATTAATTAAACCATTTCTTCCAAGTTCTATAGCTGTGGAATTTTCCACATGAAATAACTATGCATGACCACCACTTTTCCAGCAATCACAAAACCAATGAATATCAGTAAGTTCCCTCAAGGCTACTCAGGATTAGGGCCAAAGCCAAGAATACACTTGAAATTCTTGGCTCTTGATTATGGGCTCAGATCTTCTCAGGGTAAGCAAAGTAACCTAGACTAAAATGGCCAGAAATGACTTCTAATGGCTCTCAAAGATCAATACTATATTAAGTAGAAAGGAAAAAAAGAAACTCTGACAAAGTTTTCGTGAAGTTGTAAATTTCAACACAAGCATTTAAAAACTGTTAGGCTATGAAAGGAAAAAAAAATGATGTGAAGAAAACATTTTAAAAAGTGATACGTTATATTACAAGTATCTTAAGATCAGCTAAGAACAACGGCATGTATCAATAACCCCAGCTACTTGGGAGGCTAAGGAAGGGGGAACTCAAGTTTGAGGTTAACTTGAGCAACACAGTAAGGCCCTATCTTGAAAATAAAAAAGAATTAAGATGAAATCTTCTATTATCTGTAACAGCCACCACTATTCTTCCTGTTGGGATTCTTCATTTCTAAATAAGACCACTTCCATGCATATTATCTGGTAGCTGGAAGGTGCTATTCTCACCTCTGTTTTACAGATAAAGGAACTAAGACTCACAGACATTTTAAATAATTTACTTACCATCACCTCGCCAGTCTATAGTAGTGTGAAAACTAAAATCTAGGTCTTCTTGTTCCACATCCTGACATGTAGCATCCCCAGCCCTTTCCCCTCCTCTCTCCTCTTATCTTCCCTGCCTCACTCTCTATGTTTTTTGTTCATTTGTTTGTTTTGTTTTTATAGACAATAGTTTAGTTTATTTTTAACACCCATCATGCCATGAATTCATAGGGAATAGGTTCCAGAAGCTCAGGCTGCTTTCTATTGGTTCTCACAAAGTGTGCTTCTCTGGGTGGAGCAGGCTGGCACTACAGTTGAACCCAGGTACCTTTTCTCTCTGACTTCCTTCCTTTTCTGGTCATTTTCTCTCACATGTTTTAGGAAGCTGTCTCTGATCTTGGAATGTTTAATATGCTCAATACCCACATTAATTCTCTTGGCAAGAATCTTGCCCTTAACTTATTTACAACAATGCCAACAGCATGCTGGGTAACATTGTAGACTCTTCCAGGTTTGCCATGGTAACATTTGTGGGGCATTCCTTTTTGAACAGTACCCATTCCCTTAATGTCTACAATATCACCTTTCTTGCAGATTTGCATGTATGCTGCCAAAGAAAAACTTCACGTTTTATTTTATTTTATTTTTTAAAGAATTATTTTATTTAACTTTATTTATTATTATCATTATTATTTTCCAGTTTGATCAGAGAGAGACAGAGAGAGACAGAGAGAGGAAATGAGAAAGCAAGCCACCAGGTTCGAGACTTGAACCGTGGTTGGCTATGTGGGAGTCCAGTGCCTTTAACCACCATGCCACTTGCCGGCCCCCCACTTCACGTTTTCTTTTTTTTTTTTTGGGGAGGGTTTTGCTATAGGGCGCATGC